TTATTTATATATATCTATACATATATATATATATATATATATATNTAAACAAATTCTCTAGCATCCACAGTAGATCAAGCGCACTGACCTATATCAATCTTCATATCAGCCAACACGCACAACAGAATGCGACACATGTATAGATATAGAGCAGTAGCACAAACCTCTCATGGCCAATCACACTCCATTAAACCACATAGACGCCAATCGCATCTCCGTGGAATAAGATAATGATACTACAACTCCTCTGTGAGTTAGGAATACGTCTACCGCCACTAGGACCTCCCCTCTACATAGCAACACAGCATGTACACCCCACTACTTCGTATATAGTCGAACCTTTCCCTTGACACACAATCACAATGCCAATCAGTCGCAAACATAGTCAGGCGTTAGCACGTGCCCACTCGACCCCATACGGTTAACAACCATGCCGCGGGTTGTCATAGCGACGGTGGACAGGATGTCCCATACCTCATGCCTGCCTACTCTCCCCAGGAGTATCGCCCGTTCGTCCAGCAGCTCTGGAGGAGAGTACGGGATGGGATGAGATACGTAAAGTGGATCAAGTAGTACAACAGACTGTTGATAGGATGAGATACGTGCAGTGGATCAAGTAGCACAGCAGACTGTTGATGGGATGAGATACGTGCAGTGGAACAAGTAGCACAACAGACTGTTGATGGGATGAGATACGTACAGTGGATCAAGTAGCACAACAGACTGTTGATGGGATGAGATACGTGCAGTGGATCAAGTAGCACAACAGACTGTTGAAAGACCTCCATACATGTCAGCCTGTTGGATAAACCCTAAACCCTCTAAACCCTACATATTTAGTTTTAACATGTCATGAGACTTGTTGCAGGGAAGTGCATGCACGCAGCATATGGGATGGCATGAAATACCTAAAATAACGGATTGCACATCAGGATACATATTCTAAGGCTATCTGATTTAACCGTTAAATACTGGGTCATTCAATAGCGCCTAAGCATAGTAGAGCGCTGGCAATACGTTTTACATCATCGTCACCATCCTACATTAAGTAACACACCAAACTAACAACACTTCCAGGACTTGCCTATATTGTACCTTGGAATATGGACAGTTATCTCTACCTTACCTTCGAATATGAAGACTATCTATAGTTTACATTTGAATATGAAGACTGTCTATATTTTATCTTTGAATATATTCTACCTTTGAATATATTTAACCTTTGAATATAGTCTATCCTTGAACATACTTTACATTTGAATTATATTATACCTTTGAATATATTGCATCTTTGAATATATTTAACCCTTGAATACGGCCTTACCTTTAAATATTGGGTCGGCCAACAGCGTCTCCGCATTGTATAACTCAGAGAACTCCAAAAACTCACACAGACTATGCCTAACCGCACTTGCTTCGTGGTCTGTTTTGAGCCCAGATGTCCTGAATTCGGGCCACAGGGCCTTTAGCTGATCCACGTATATGGCTGCTAATTGGTTGTGGTATCGAGGCCAGGTCTGTCGTTTTAGGGGCGTGGAGTTCGGTACAATTTGAGACACAGGACAGCTTACTGCTCGTCAGTGATAGGGTATGGAACAGATATAGGGACATACAGAAGACTCAGCTACGTGTAGCAAATACATGCTTGACGGATTTTTGGATGTGTGCTTAATACTACTTAAAAGCAAAAATAGAGAGAGATATATATATATATATATATATTTATATATATATATATATATATATATATAATAAGTAAATAAATAATAATATATATATATATATATATATATATATAATACTATATAT